CAGCCATTTCCCAGACAACACCTGCAGGACTGACTTCCTTCTGGTTGGTCGAACCTCCTGTCCTGATGTTATACCCAGGGTTTTTATATAAATAGATCATTAATTTGACCTGATTGATCCTCAAATAATATACTACTTTAGAGAGAGAGAGAGATTTTAGTTGTTCCACTTATTGGTTGCTGCTTGTATGTACTCTGACAGGAGATCAAACCTGCTACCTTTGCATATGGGAACCATGCTCTAACCCAGTGGTCGGCAAACTGTGGCTCGCGAGCCACATGTGTCTCTTTGGCCCCTTGAGTGTGTCTCTTCCACAAAATACCGACTTCAGCGCATGGACCATGAAGTTTTAATAGCACTGTACATGCATGCCCGCACGTGGTATTTTGTGGAAGAGCCACACTCAAGGGGCCAAAGAGCTGCATGTGGCTCACGAGCCACAGTTTGCCGACCACTGGACTAGCCTTATCCTAATGATAATTGATCCTGGTAGCCTAATGTATACCAGATACTGTGCCTTGAATATTTGTCTTATTTAAAATTACAGCAAGCTTACTAGTAAATTGAGCTTCAGAAAGCTTAAATTGCCAAGGTGATATAATAAGCAACAGGACTGAGATTGGAGGCCACGTCAGTTTGTTTCCAAATCCCTTGCCATTTCTACCCACAGCAGGTTGCTTTCTGAGCTATGTATTAAAAGCACAACACACACTGGCCATTAAAAGTAGTATTTCTGGCAAATTCTAAGCAAGAATAACATGCATGACAAGGCTCTAGTTTTTAGATGGTGCTGGTGCCACAAAAATGCAAACAAGAAATGTGGGGGGATATTGGGATAATTTCTTGATAATGGGAAGAGTATTACATGTAAAAGATCTGCTTTTATTTGAAGGGTCTACTTGTTGGGTTATCTGGTCCTCCCCAGTCCCCACCCCCAAAAGCTGTGGAGTGGAGCCTGAGCTTTTGTGTTCTGAGCAGCCCTCCCGCTGCATTTTCTACAGTTGTGCATCTGTGATTGTGGTGCAACCTGGGAGGCAGCTGCTCTCCTTTGCTTTGCCCTTGGAGACATTGCCCTGTCATCTAGAAGAATGAAATGGTTGCTATGGTTGCTGCGGCGGCGGCGACAATGTTGAGCTCTAAGTTGACTGGAGTCTCTGTGGAAAGAGCGGGATTCTATTTGGCACAGATGCAGTTGCTCATTATATTCTGCAGGTAGAGTCACCGTGGCATCCTTGGTTATATTCCATGGACTCTATGATGTGTATAGAAATAGAATGTGAATAAGAGGCTGTTTGTTTAGGTAAAAAGCATCTTTCCTGTAACAACTTTTAGTTCTTGGGTGATGCCAGGTAGCTCTTATTAAATTTAGTGAGGCGGCGTGGGTCAACTCTTCAAAGTTCATTTACATAAGCCTCTTTTAGCTTTGCGACAGTTTCTTTTTGAGGTATGGATGCTGAATAGCAAAACATTATTAAGCGCTTTTCAAATGGCCATTAAATGCCAACAGCCACCACCACTTGGTGAGGACACTAAGTGGAGAGGAGGTAGGCAGTCGCCACTTGTATATATGTTTGGATTCTTACACGGTGAGCCCAACCTAAGTAATGCTGTAATCAGTGTTAGTTCAGTTAATCAATCTTGAATTAAAATAGGTGTTTCAAAACTTTGTGGGAATAATGCAACATAAAAATAGTTTGTGTCCAGAAGTATATCATGTCTGAAGTATAAAATAGTTTGCTTTATTTTTAAAAGTTGAACTTCAGAACATCTTCTTATGAGAGGTCACTCAAATGTAATCAACCTAACCTGAAGTTCAGATTGACTGTATTTTTAATTCTGTTGTTAGTTTTATTTCCTTACTTAATTAAAATCTTATATTCGTTTTATTGTGGTAGAGATTGAATATTTTTTAGCTAGTCACAAAAAAGCCAATATCTTATTTTATTATTATCATCATCATTATCGTTATTTTTATCTACAAATACTCCTTTATTCTACCTTAGAGGAAAATTGTTTTTTAAAGATTTATTGAGAGCTGTTAACACACACACACACACACATACACACACACACACACACAAAACTGAGATTAAAATGTAACAGTCAACTTATTGAATATTTATTTAAAATACTGTACAGACAGAACTTTCTAATGGGCTATAATTCTTATCACAAACACTCCAGAGCATTTTACCATATCTGGTGTTTGATGTATACAATTGTTTTTATGTCTTTTCCCACTTATGAGGCTGAAAAATCCTGATGAACATGGTTATCTTTGATGTTTTTATAAACGCAATAAAACCTAGAACAGTGTCTTGTAAATACTGGCACCTAGAAAGAAGAAGACAGTAAACAAGGGCTCTAAAATAAGTATTCATTTAAATGCTTTTTTTGTAATGAATGTTAATGTGAGGTCATATTTTGCTGTTCCAAAGGTGGTTGTAATCACCTCTTGTTTCCTGCCTTTTTAAATTACTGCTACTCATAGTACCCAATAACACAAACTATTACCAGCAGTGACAAGATAAGGAACTTGCACAAGGATATAAATTAGTCCCTTTCTCAAAACATGGCTCCCTTCAGGGCTACACACACACACACACACACACACACACACACACACACACACACACACACACACTTCTACCAGAGAAACGTCAGCTAGACCAAACAGTGTGATGAATGATAGGTGTTCTAGCACAAGTTCCTTAACCCATTGTTGACCAGCAACAGTTTGCAGATGGCACAGGTCCATGGACCAAGCTTGGAGTACCATTGCCCTTTTTTTAATTTATTAAATTTATTGGGGTGACATTGGTTAATAGGATTACATAGGTTTCAGGTATACATTTCTATAATACATGATCAATATATTGCTTTGTGTGCCTACCACTCAAAGCCAGATCATCTCCCATCACCATATATTGGGTCCCCTTTATCCTTTACTACCCCACCACCTCCTTCCCTCTGGTAATCATCATACTGTTGTCTGTGTCTGTGAATTTCAGTTTTCTGTCCCACATATGTGTGAAATCATATGGTTCTCAGCTTTTTCTGACTGATTTCACTTAGCATAATATTTGTTGCAAATAGCAGTACACTTCATCTTTTCTTATGGCTGAGTACTATTCTATTGTGCATATGTACCACATGTTCTATTATATGGCTTTAAAGGGCCAGAGAGACTTTTGATACCAGGTCTTCCTATGTTGGTGTGGGGTGTTAGTAAGAAAGGAAGTCTTACCATTGCTTTTCTCTCAAGCTAGGTATTTTCAGGTGGGGCATTCTCCTATTAGTTGGTGCTGTTTGGAGATGTCTGCCTAGAATCTTGCATTTCATAAGACTTTATCCAGTTGCTAGGTTTCTTCCAAATGCTCTGCTAAAGCTGCCGCATCCCTAAATGATCAGCGCTGGCACTGACTTCAGCAGTGGCCTTGACTTTTAGAGTATCATGTGCTGACAGAAGAGCGTGCCTCACCAAAACAGTATCAGGACAGTGTTCAGGCATCAGGCCTATGAGTGTGTTCCTCCCATGCAATCCTCCTCACACTTGCCTTTCATCTTCCTCTGCCACTGACTTCTGTCTGACAACTCATCCTGATGAAGGGACTGGCAGAATAGTTGGGTGCAGCTCAGCTGAGTGCCTTCAAAGTGAGTGAGGGCAAGGGAACGCGTTACTGTGTCTCTCCACTGCTTGGGGTGTCTACTGATAAGGTCCCTTTCACCTGTCTGATTCATGTTATTACAACTATTCTCCTGCCACTCTCCCCGCATGTGTGCTACTCCGTGCAATCAACATTTAAGTGGCAGTTCCTCAAGACTCAGTCCCTGGCTTGCTCCTCTCCTCAGTTTGTTCTCCCTGCACTGCAGATGGATGTAGGTGAGATTTCCTGAGGACTCCCAAATGTGCATCTCCAGCCCAGGCCACTTCTCTGAGCCCAAGATCTGTGTGTGTCATTGCAGATTCAACATTCTCCACATTTGTGTCCAATTTCACACTTTAAACGTTCGATCTAAACTCATGACTTTGTAACACCCCCTCCTCCCTTCTATAGCCCTTCCCGCAACAACAAAATCACAGATTTGGTCTCCTCTGAGTCCTCTTCATGAGAAAAGTACCATTATCCACTCAGTTTCATAGCCTGGGAGTCCACCACCTTCTCTCCCTCACCCTCTGTACTTGAGTGCCCACATCATACCAGTTCTGACTCTTAAAGGTCTCTCCTTAATAAGGCTTTAAAGGTCCGGCATGATCTGGTTGTGCCTCACTCACCATCTCCAGCCATTGTCACCATCTGCCATGTACGGGCACCTCTTTGTCTCTTGGGTGGACCTTCCCACACTAAAGCCCTAACCAGAGATCCCAGTTGCTAAAGTGCCCTCTTCCTGGCTACTGCCCTCCATCCTTCTGATTTCATGTTAAGGCTCGTGTCCTTAGAGGAGCCTTCCCATGATGTTCAGGTGAGGTCAGTCTCCATGGTATAAGCTCTTAAGGGCTACATGGCTCCCTCAGAAGAGCTTTGGTCCCATAAGAATAGGACCATGTTTTTGCTTACAGCCCAAGGCATGCTCTTGACAATTATTTGTCTAGTGAATGAATGACAAAGAATTACCAGGCACTGTGTCAAGCATTTTACATATATTATCTCACTTAATCCTCAAAACAGTGCTCAGACAGTTTAAGGAGCTTGCCACTCTGAAGCAAGGCACAGTGGGGGAGTCACTCAACATCCAAGTCTAGTAGAGTGCCTGCTACATAGGAAGTGCTCAGTTAATGTTTAACTAAACAATAAGGGTCTACACATTTTGTATAGTCAAGACCTCATTATATAACTAAAGATGCTTCCTATTAAAAGTGTGGGGGTTGCTGAGAAGAGGGGCAGGGATGGGGAAATGTTGACAAGAGATAGGAAAAAAGCTGGGTCCCAGCAAAGGCTATTTCTGCTCCTAACCCTGGCTTTCTCGAGGAAGAAATGGTTGCTGCTGTGTAGTTTTATTAATAATAAAGTTGTGGCGTTAAAGAGAAAGACGCAGAGCTTCTTCTCATAAGGGAGATTCATGGAGAGTATGAAGAGACTTGCCTTTTATGGGTGCAAATTTCCTTACGGTAGTTTCTTTTTTAAAAAAAAAATATTCTCTTAAACTATAAGCTTGGGGAACTGTAGAATTGGATCAGCAGATTTTGCTGCCAAACCTCTTAAATGACATTCCAAGTCCTCCCTCCACTGCTTCCTGAAATGGTGTGCCCTCCAGAGCCACACAGGTTTATTCTCCATCTCCGGGGCTTACAGCTTTTAATCAAACTGCTTTCAGCTCCTTTCCTCTCTACCATTTTAGTTCTTTTTAAACCCCATTTATTCACTCAAGAAATATTTACTGAGCACCCAGTATGTTCCAAGAAAGTTTTCCAATGTAGTGTTGGTAATGGCAATAAAGAAATGTCTTCCTTAAATGAATGTGTAGAGATGGTTGGCCCATGTTCCTTCTACGGAAATCCCTAAGGCAAGACCATATTACATTTCAGATCATCTCTAGGGGGCTTTGTAGATGGAGTCTTCTCATTATCTGTCCGAGTTAGAAACTATTTGGAGAAAGAAATTTTAGAAGAACTTGACCATTAGCCAAAAGATAGAATTTGCTCTTGCTGGAGAGAATCCTGAATCCTATCCCAATATAGTTGTTGGATATCCAAGCACAGAGAGTGTAAGACAGATTTGAGATGTGTAATTCACACTTTGGGCAAGGCTTCTGTATCCTAAGCAACACGGTACTTCATATGTTCCCGATCCCTCCTCCATGCGGAGCTGACTCATGCTAACCTTTCTGCTTTAGTAGCTAACTTTCCATTCCATGAAACTGAAATCTTTTCATTGCATTCTTTATTGGTAACCTTTAAGCGAAAACTAGGGCTTCTTGGTGTCAGTCTCTAAAGAAACCAACCTCTAAGATGTGGTATCATCTGTTGAATTAGGCAAGGAAAAGGCTAATTAGAACTGCAGTGCAACTGGAATGGTTCTCAAATGTTACCTAGCCTTCAGTGAGGATGTGGATATTCATTACCAGACTCATCAAGAATCTGTATCATAATTTTCATTAAAAATATTTTCCTAACAATGGCAGTATTTTGCCTCTAACAAATATTTGCTATGTATATGAGAGGGTTTTTTTGTTGGCTTTTTTTTTGTATATGAGTTTTATAAAATGTTACCTTTAAACTGTCGTAGCCTTGGCTAGTTTTTTTCTTCTTGTTGTTTTTTTAATATTTTTATTGATTTCAGTGAGGAAGGGAGAGGGAGAAAGAGATAGAAATATCAGTGATGAGAGAGAAACATTGATTGGCTGCCTCCTGTATGCCCCCTACTGGGGATCGAGCCCCAAATCCCTGGCATGTGCCCTGACCGGGACTTCCTGGTTCATAGGTCAGTGTTCAACCACTGAGCAACATTGGCCAGGTGCCTTGGCTAGTTTTAATGCTTCTTTGTTGGTAGAAAACTCAGTGATCATGAAACAACTAATAGTTACTACTACTGAGTGCTTCCTCTGTACCAGGCACTGTTGAATATTTTGAGCATATTATCTTGGTTAGTTAGTCCTTAAAGCACTCCTTTAAGGAACATGGTATTGTTCCCGAAATACATTTTTTTAAAACCTCTGAATTTTCAGAGATTAACTTACTGAGAGTCAGGACAGGAACGGGAAGATTTGGACTTGAACCAGTTCTATCTGCCATCAAAGCATTACTCTTTATAGGATGATGTTCTGGAACAGTGGTAAAATCTTGCATATTAAAACGCTTGAATAGGTTTGTGAAGATGTTTAAAATTGCTAAAATTTCTTATAAAAACATATTTGTGACACTGAGGTTCACTAACTTCTCATCTTTCAAATAAGCCACAGAAGTATTGATCTGACATAATGAAAGAGTTAGTGGAAGCTGTTGGGCCAGCTGGCACCTAAAAAAGCTAAGCCCAAAAAGGCTGCATATGACATTCTGGAAAAGGCAAAACTATGGAGACAGCCGAGAGAGCAGTGGTTGCCAGGGACTCAGGGGAGGGACAGAGGAATGAATAGGTGGAACACATATTTTTAGGGCAGTGAAACTATTCTGTATGTTACCGATGATAGTAGATATATGACATTATACATATGTCAAAACAAAACCCATACAATATACAAGAACAAGAGTGAACCCTAATGTAAACAGCGGACTTCAGTTAATAATAAGGTCTCAATGTTGGCTCATCAGTTGTAACAAATGTACCACCCTAATCTAAGATGTTAATAATAGAGGAAACTGGGGAGTGTGTGTGGGGTATTTATGGGGAATATCTGTACTTTTCCTTTAATTTTTCTGTAAACCTACAACTGCTCCAAAAAGTAATTCTCCAGCCTTTCCCTCCAATTTCAGGATTTCCTTCACTTTTAAAATTACTGACCCTAGGTCCTAAAGCATCAATCACATTTAAAATTTCACTGTCCTTCACCCCGCACCTGATCGTTTGCTCTCGCTGTGTGTGACCTTTTCCATATTTACTTTCCTTTTCCAGCTGCCAGTATGCAAGCTGCTGGAATTTGTTCTACCCACTCCCAGCCTGTCCTATATGTGGCCATCTGATTGCTCTTCTTGAAATGTGGCCTTGATTATATCAGTTCCCTGACCAAAAACCTTTGTCTGCGCCCCTCTCCCACCTCAGTTTCTCTGCCATCTGAATCAGGTGGCCTGTGCTCCATGAAATTTTGTTAGAAGCAGTGTTCCTTGAAATCAGAAGTGACCTCTATTGGCACATTGTTTATCACTTTGTTGACATTTGTTCTAATGATCTTGTATTAATACTGTGTTGCACTGTACTGGTCTCTCCTCTCCCCACCCAATTGGTCTATGTTGTTTGATGGCAAAGACTGTATTTTCCCTCCACCATTGTTTTTGAGTCACTGGAGTGCCTTGAATACAGTAGAAGACCCTCCAAGAATGCACTCAGCTGAATTCAATGTGTCTGTGTCCCCAGTCTCTTTATCCAGAGCTCTGCTGTTAGGTGAAGTGAAAGAGAAACCCATTGCCCATGTGACAGGCATTGTGAGACAGCACAAAAGCTGAGATGTTCCTGACATTAGAATGTTATAATTTATTGGTGTTTGTTTGCTGGCACATTTATTTGCTGTGGCCACTACTTTGGCTGCCCTACTGTGTCTTGAATTAAGAGTTTAGATCAGCTTTACCAGTTTTAACCAATACATTTTGAGCCAGACAGACATCTTTCCACATGCCTTTCCGAAAGAAATCCTTATTGCATTATAAATGGGCGCCTTTGCTATCTTTCCTGTTAGAAGATTGGAAATGACATATAAGTAATGCTGTTGGATTGATAACTATTTATATTCTTTGAAGATTGAGGAATCTTGTGACTATTTTGTCAAGTAATTCTTCTGAAAAAAATTTTTTTTAAATATTTTAAGGCTTAATTCCAGTAAAAGATGGTCAATAGAATGAAAACGAAGCAGGTCCCATGGTGTAATGGTTAGCACTCTGGACTTTGAAAACAAATGGCAGGTCATTATCTGAAGTAAAAGGTGTGATGAGAGAAATACTAAGTAGCTCAATTATTGCCTCCAACATTTCAGAATTCAGCTTGAAAAATAGTTGCCTGGAAAGATTATAGCTTGAGGACAGTGGTAAAAAGTATGCATCTATAGGACCAAATTTGTTTCTCATTTGCTTTCAAATTGTTTAAGCAAAGCACATTTCACCAAGTTGAATTTCAACTTGAGAGATGTCCAGATGTTAAATGGCAGGACTCCAAATACTGAATGTGCTGTGCTTTCAGGAAAATAGTCATCTTTTTGTTTTGTTTGGTTTTGTTTCTTTAAAAATAAAGGTCAAGAGAGATAT